ATGATGTCTAAAATACCTCTCCGGGGGGATCTAGTAAATGTCGAATCAATGCAAATGATCGTTCCTAGACTACTAGAAATGGAAAAAATTATTTTAGGGCGCCAATACTCTTGAGAGAGACCACGGATTCTAATCCAAACCTGAGCATAAGTGTGGTTAACATTGTTAGGAACAAAATTCCTCATCTAAGGGAACAACTTCAATATACTCGAGCTTAGGTTCCAAGAGGGCATGGATCTAACACACCTAACATCATCTAGATTTGCAAAAGAGAACTCGAAAAAACCCTTACCAAAAGAAGTGATGCCCCGTTTTGATAAGGAACTCCAAAGCTTCTCCAACTTTGTTCTCAGTTGAATCACAATTAATGGTGAGGAACATTTAGGCTACAAGATCCTTCTATGTAGGTTATGCTTGCAGGAATCAAGCCCAATGAGGTATTCATCCTCCTGAATCGAGATGAAAATCCTATTCTTAACATACAAAGTTGGGAGTTGGCTAAATGAGATGTTGCAAACATTGCCTAACGCTTAAGTGAATGATTTGTTGGGCTTACTAGGTAACTTCTCTATAGTAATTTCGGGTTTCTGCGTGAAAGTTTATAAAAAAAATATATGAATTTATAAAGATTCTATGGATGAAACTCTCTAGGTCAACCGTGTTTTTACTCTCATCAGTGAAAGGGATTTTCTCCTTTGTTGAACTTTCCTTTGTTTACAATAAATTGTCTAGAGCTCTTTTTCCATTATTTCATTTCATATAAAAAAAGTTAAAATTTGTTTATTACAAATAAAACTTAAAATAATTGAAAATGGTAACTATTTTGTTTTAGGATCGTAATCAACGTTAATGGAGTCTCCAAAACAAATGACTTAGCAGGTTGTGGTGGCTTGTGCCACAATTATAGCATAAACTGGTTGGGAGGTTTCTCCAAAAATATTGGTCGGTGTAACAGTTTTAGTGCTGAGCTTTGGGGAGTTCTTGAGGGGTTGAATTTTTATTTGGCTAAGGGCTACAACAAGTTCGAGTTTCAAACTGATAAAGAGGTTGTGGTGGATCTCATCAATGCAAGGAAGTATTATTTTGGTGAAGGCAGTGGCATCTTAAAGTAGATCAAAGACATATTGAATCTTGAATGGGATGTGCGAGTCAAACATGTTCATCGAGAGGCTAATAGTTGTGTGGACGCTCTGGCAAATCTTAGTCTTAAACATGGGCTAGGATTATAAATTATGATCAATGTCCTCCATATTTAGTAAATTATCTTAAGTTGGATGTTTAAGGTATTTGTGTTCTCCGAGTGATTTCGTTTTAGTTTCTTGTTTCGGGCTTCGGCCCTCTCAATTCCAAAAAAAAAAACTTCCAGTTTGAATATTTAATCTGGATTTACTATTTTTCAATAGTTCCGATAAAAATAGATAATTGCAACATTATAAAAGTTATTTTAATGTTTAAACTAAATATATGATTTTCTACCGTTCCGATGTAAATATTCAAAGAGAAAGTTTTCATAACTTAGGGCTGTTGAAATTTTTTCAAATTTATTTCTTTTTCCAAATTCTTAGAACCATAAGGGATATGTGTTTTTTAGGGGTATAGGAAATTGGTTTAAAAAAAAGCATTTTAGAAATATCATAATGTTGAGGAGTATATGTCCAAGAGGGAGGGTATGAAACTCAATTTTTTAATATAACAAATAAAAATGAAAATGAGTCCATTATGCAATCAATTGATGATCCAATGACATGAAAATGAGTTTTTAACTTGACACTCCTCAAATTATACCTCACACCCTCATTTTTTTTATTTCCAGAATGCCCTTATTATTATTTACTTCTAAATTTTTTATATTTGTAAAAAAAAAAATTTACTATCGGTCAAAGTGGTGAAAAAGGAAATTTCATGTACTGTTATCAAATTTCCGATACCGAAATTGGGAGTTTATCGGAAAAAAAATTGAATTTCAAAATTTCCGATAGAAATTAACTAGAAATTTCAAAATATCTAGGGCGATTTACTGGAAATTTCAAAAACTCCAGGGCGATTTTCCAAATAAAATGATAACACATTCTAGAAATTTCTAGAATATCCCGTAAGTATCAAAATACCGAAAATTTGGAATTTCTAGTAAACTGGAACGTTCGCAAATACCTGAAATTTTTAGTGTCTGCAGATGAAATTGTATTCTTGTATGGTCTAGAGTCGACAACTTCAGCTTCTTCTACAGATTCATGTACAAATTTTATGCAGTTCTTCACCACATATACCGTATGTTTCCTATTGAATTTATACATTTTTATTTGTTTTCCGACAATTATGAAATTGATAAAGTTTACTAATTTTTGTTGTAATTGACAGTTTTTTAAATCCTGTTCTGAAGTTTTAGAATGGACAAAGTCTACTGGTAAAAAACATGGTATTATTGTTGTTACAGTTTGATCTGATTCTGATATTGGAATGCGAGGGAGGAAGGATAAATTAATTATGAGTTGTGAGAGAGGAGGAAATTAAAAAAGAAAAAATGCATCTAGAAACAACTCTAAATGGCATTTATACTATGAAGTTTAAATGTCCGTTTAGGATAAGATTCATTCCTAGTGGTATAGGTTGGAAGTTGGTTGTTAAATGCAGGATGTACAATCATAGACTAGACAAGGTTTTGGAAGATCATGAGATATTGGGGCGTCTAAAAGATCATGAAAGAAATACAATATGGCACCAAGATACATCATTTCTGCTTTGAAAGATAAAGATCCAAAAAATATCACGAGTATTACCCAGGTATATAAAGCTAGAGCAACATACAGATTGGGCAAGAGAGGTGGAATGACATAAATGAAAATGTTATTGAGCCTTATACACAAAGAGAAAAATACGTGTTGGACTAGAAATAGGAAGAACTCGAATATTGTAGTTGATATCTTCTGAACACATCCTGATTCTGTGAAGTTGTTGAATATGTTTTAGCAGGTGTGAATTTTTTATTGCACATACAAGACAAATAGTTAAAAACTTTACTTTTGGCATCCTAAAATATGTTGTATATATTGAGTGAGCTGGTTGGTTATGTGTATTTTAACCGTGCAGATACCAGTTACCATTGCTTAAGATTGTTGGTGTTACATCAACGAAGTTGACGTTTTTTGTTGCCTTTGCCTATTTGGAAGATGAAAGGTTTCATACCCCATTTTTTACCCCTAATATGTTTAGTCATGACATCATATGCATTTACATCATAAATCATACATTCATTTGAGCTCCTAAGGCATGAGATCAAAGGGCTCTTCGCATTAGGGTTTTTCCTTATGGATTGAGGTTGTTACCTTACTCAAAGGTGATTCAACTGGTTCATTCATCACTCTTGGATTATGGAACTAAGATTTTAGATCACAAGCATCATGGACATCTTCCCTGGAAAGATTCCTCAAGATACAAAGTTGTCTTCATCATAATTTCTTCAAAGAACAAGTGTATTAGAGTTTAACTTGTGAGTTTAAGATTTCATCATGTCTTCATTAAGAATGTCCTTGAGCTAGGGTTTTTGTTCCTCTCACCATCTCAAGCCTTCTTCATCAATGTGCACTCAGAGCCAAGGAATTAGGGTTTCTCCTATGATATGCCTGAGCATTGATATTGGTTATTCAACAATGGTTCATTATGCTAGGTTTTCTCCTCAAGAATATAAGGATCATCATACTTTCCTCATTGCGAATTCATCATCATCATTTAGGATTTCTCCTAATTGCTTTCTCCACGAGACATTTCCTTCAAGAAGTTTAGAGGATTTAATCAAGGACTTCTTTCTTGTGATGATACTTATCAGTTGGTTAGGGTTGCTTTGGGATTTCATCAAGTCAAAAATGTTTCTTGTTTGTTTGAGCTATGAATTGGAATCTCAACAACCTTTCAGACACGATTTGGTTGCCTTTTGAATTGGTGGTTCATTTGAAGATTGAGGTTAATTGATTAAGTTTAACACAAAAGATGAGTGTGTGAATTTTTTGTAATCAAGGTCTCGTTGACTATTCAATTACTCGTTTGCTTGCAGTTTGTTTTAGATTTAATTGAAGACAAAGCTAAAGTTGGAAGGTTCATGTATTTGGATTACTTGGAACTTAAGGCGTACCACAACATTTTTATCCTTTCAAGTTCAAGCTTTATGTTCATTTCGAGATCAAGATCATGAGGGTTATTTTGAGGCAAAAACATATATCATTATTCGTTCAAGATTTCAAAGTTCATCATTCAAAGGCATGACTTGAAATCAAGTTCAAAATTCAAGATCCATCATAATTCATATGTTCAAGTTCAAATACAATGTCCAAATTTACATTCTATACAATTTTCATCATTTTTTTGCTAAGCCTTTTAGTCTATCCAAATGTCCATGAACTCTTGTCAAAAAGCTGTTCAAAATTGCCATTTTTTGCTTGTGTCATGTTGAACCAAAACAGCTCCAAAGTTGTTGCAAACTTGTTCAAAATATCATTTCAAAATCAGCCCTGCATAAGTATTGTGGCAGCAGAAAAAACAAGGGAACAATAAAATCAGAAAAGCCATGAGATTAAACTCAAAACCGTGCCAAGGAAAGGACTAAATCAGAATAGAAAAATCAGGAATTTGCCCGCTCATTGAATCAGAGAAGCATTAAATCAGAAAAGAAAATAAAGGTAGCAGAAAATATATCAGAAGTGTGGAAATAGTGAGAACAGAAAATCAGAACAAGCTCATAACAGAATAAATCAGGACCTTCCATTCTTGTACCCCAACTGCAAAAAAAAAACAAAGGCTAAGATGGATTTAATCGTAACAAACTTCTAACAGAATACAAATATCAAAATTCATCTTGGATCAGATTCATTCTTCACTTCTGTAGAAGAATCACAAAATCAAAGAAAAAAATTCTCTCTGCTCAATCAAACCTTCATCATCTTCATCTAAAAAAATTCTCTGTAACAGCTTCATTCGCTGCACCTTTCATCATGTAATCTTCATCATCATCACCTTGACGTCTTCAGTATCGACGTCGTCGAAATTTCTCCGTAAGAGGAGGAGGCTTCGTGCAGATCTTCTTGTGTTATTTGAGGATCAGAAACGGAATAGTGAGATGAAAGTATCGCCGAGGTGGCGCCGTCGTTTTTCACCGCTGTAGCTGTCGGAGAGGAAGACTGTTTCGCGACGGAGGTTTGAGGGAAGCTCAGAAATGAGGAGACGCGAACGCATGAGACGGGATAAAGACAGATAAGGACGGGAGTAGATCGTCTATGGCGGCCACGAAGGATTGAATCAAAGACGGAGCAAGGAGATCGAGGCGCTGTTCGCAGAGACGATGAAGAAGACGAACGTCTTTCTCGAAGGAGTTAAAAGGTTCTTCACACCATACGCATCGTTTTATGGTCACTTTCTTTCAGTTCTTTTGTTATATTTTTACATATTAATCATAGTTATAATTCAATAATAATAAAAAATACATGATGCTGAATTTGAATTTGGTGTGTTAGTGGACCATAGCCTTGGATCGGTTTGGGCCTCACACACCATGGCCTGCTTTACACACATACCCCTGATCCATGCACCACCTTGTTTTTTCTCTTAATTCTCATGTTGTTCTTTAATCTTTGGAAACTAATTTTTGATGATTCTTGTATAATTTGCCGCTGAAATTTTGTGTGTATGTTCATATGATGATACCTGGCTGTGTGGAATTTTTTGTTGATTTTTCTATTAGTTTAGGAGTTAATTGATTAAATGTTGGAAAATGATTAGAATTAAGATTTTGACTTGTTGTTGTCGATTCTTCCTATTTGATTCAATCACTTTGGCATGATGAATAATTAATAAGTAGGTTCTAATCCTTGAATAAATGGTTGAGTATATGTATTTGGTTAGGTTCATAAAAAGTATCATAAACTTGATAAAAATAGACTTTATGTTTCATTGAATGTTCGTGCAATTTGCTAGTCTTATGATAGAACGTTGATACCACTTTTGTGATATGAAATACTTGAAAATTATTTTGTTTAATCACTTGTGTGAAGCTTCTATAGAGTTTTCTTATCGCTTGCGTGACTTTGAAGAGGCAACAAACCTACTTTGTTAGGTATCATCGGAGCTATCTTTACTCTCTAATTAAAGCATTGTTTTATGTTGTTCTTGGCATGATAAGTAGGATAGAGATGATATGAGATGAAGTCCTACCTTTCTAGGCTTTGTATTTGCGTAGTTAGGAATAAATTTGTCTCACTCTTGAGTCTTTTCTTTTGTCTTGATTCTTGTTTGGATTTGAGATCTATCTTGTTAATAAGCCTTGACACTTTGGTTTTGTTTACTATTTTGTCATACTTTATGATGAACGAATAGTCACTCAATTTTACACCATAGCTGAGATCATGACATTGTTTTTTTTGTGAACGAAGAGTCACTCAAATTTGCACCAAAACTGAGATCACAACATCGTTCTTTTATTTGCTTTTGTTGTGAACAAAGAGTCACTCAGTTTTACACCATAGTTGAGATCACAACATCATTCTTTTATTTGCTTTCATTGTGAACGAAGAGTCACTCAGTTTTACACCATAGCTGAGATCACGACATCGTTCTTTGTTTGTTGTGAGCGAAGAGTCACTCAATTTTACAGCACAGTTGAGATCATGACATCGTTCTTTTATTTTCTTTTTTTGTGAACGAAGAGTCATTCAGTTTTGTATCATAGTTGAGATCACAACATCATTCTTTTTATTTCTATGTTGATTGCTTATTGCAACACCCCCTAAACCCCACACAAATAATATGCAATAATTAGAGTAAATTAGAATGCATATCAGACGAGGGTGTCACATTTACTTCACAACAACAACACAAATACACTGGTCGTATTCATAACACGCATTTAGAATCATGTTTCATACAATAACGCATATGCATCTCACAGCAGAATAATTCTCAACTAAAAATAATAATACTAATGATTGAAATCCAATACCGACAATCATAACATAAAGTATTAGACACTAAAAGCCATCATCACATACATCTCAATTCAACATAAATATCCATAGAGTATAATAACATCTCTCAAATAAACATGAATATAATAAAAATAACATGAATCCAAGCGTTCCCCGTGTTACATAGACCAGAGCATGACTCACTACCTAGTAAAACAGATAAATAAATGACTAGCTCCTCCAACTACTCATTGCTAACAGCACCACCGCTATCCTCGATATCTGACGGATGTCGTATAAAATATCATTTCAATTGAAGGGTGAGAATTCATATCATTGTAGAAATATATAATAGTAAGTAATTACATAACATACATACATCAATTGAATTCACCACACTTCACATAATCATGTATTCAACACATTATAACAAATTCACATGATTACATATACAACATTGTTCAATGATTCATGATTCAAAGATAAGCAATCACAAATACCACATATGTAACATTCACACCAATATCACATAATGCACACCAATTCAATATTTCACATAGACGCATGTAACTCCAATGCAACTCAATGTAATATGCATGTGGTACCGACTATTATCTTTATCAGTCCTACCGGTCCATATCTCCAAGACAGATAACCACCAAAAAGCACGTTCTCTAAGCTTTCAAACCCCATCTCCAGGTTTAGGACAAGTCAATAATTCCCATGGAATTACCAAATATTTCCTCTTGACACAAATGATGCATGTGCAATCTCAACATAAATATGCAATTAAGCCCATCTCCATATCTTAATCATACAAACATATTTCACATAATTCAACATATTTGAATTATCTTCACCAAATTGGACAACATATATATTTCATGTCATCAATTACACACAATATATTCTTATAGAATTAATCATCTCAATACATCACTATAACATGTAGTAAACAGATTCTAATCATGTTATTTACATTCATCATTATTTCACGTCATTCTCATACAAAAATCAAGTATCATGTTTCTCATCAAAAGTTATTCAAAACCAATCTAAAACACATCTAAAAAATCATTAAAATTCATGTAAATCAATGATAAATTATAAGCATCCATAATCCATAATAGTTTCCGAAAATAATAATTCTTACATTCCAGACCGCGCTAAACAACCTCTGCGAAATGCAGAAAAATTCTGCTACGGACAACTTCTGCCTCCTGTGAATTTGTCCATCCAAATATCATTCAAACACATATATTTCACCAATTAAATGTATTATAACCTATTGTTTACAGTGATTTCTGGTAAACAACCGCTAGTCCTCCAAACTATCAAATAATCTTAATGATTGTTATTTAATCTCTCTGGTAACTTGCAGGATCGACTAGATTAAGCATATGGGGTATTGGTCGTTTGGATAAATCTATTTGTAAAACTGATATTCATAGTTAGGATTTGTATTTAGAATGTTTTATAGACGTTCAATTCACTTCGATTACCATGTTAAAAGAATCTAATGACATGATCAAGTAAAGAAATACGAAACTGAATTGTATGAATAAAGATTCGATTGCAAAGAAATGTTTACATGCAGAAATAAGTAAATGACTTTGAATGTAAAGACTTTAATGTAAAAAGCATGAATATAAAAGCATGAAATGTAAAAGAGTTTCTGAAATGTAAAGGATTCGAATAGAAGAAAACGTTTAAATGCAAGAAATAAGTAAATGACTTTGAATGTAAAGACTTTTGAATGACATTGACATGAAAATGAAAGATAAACTGGAAAAGGTAAAGAGTTTTACTGAATTATAAATGTTTTGTGTTATCATACGTACATTGTTCGAGCATTCGTTTCCCTAGCCATGTGGTATTTTGAATGTTTACTGAATTTTTTACAATAGATATGACACACGAAATCCTAATACTAAGACTTCTATTTATACTACTTCGACCATAACGGTCTTGCCTATAAGATTCTGCCACGTTCAGAACATGCAGAGCACTGCTCCTCTCTAGCTTCCACGCGTCTTCGAACGCTCCAGCGCATATATATTTGAATTCCAACATCCCGCTCGCGCTTGAATTTCAAATGCCTTGGCAATCTTCGCTTCGAACTCATTCCTCAGACACAGTCTCGTTACCACTTCGAGGCTTCTTTTAAACATATCTTCACAACTGTCACTCGAAGCTCGAGCTTTGACATGTCCGTTCGAAGAACCGCTTCTACCATTCCGAACTGTAACATTTTGCTTTATTCCAACGAAACATCCATATTGCTTCATTTCGAACTGTATCATCAAAATCTTCAGCCAACAAAATGCCCCTTTAAAATATGTATTTCGATCCTTTGAGAAACACTTATTTTAAATATATTTGCAAGATTTTGATGTGACTTTTGAGTAATCATAACATTTATTGTGTATGACTTCAATCACGTCAATCACGACGCCTCTTGGATTTCTTAACCGTCTTGAATCAGTATTTCACAGCATGGTGCAGTTATAAAACAATGATTATTATTAATCATGCTTATTACCAATATCAGCCTTTACGCCACCTCCTCCTCAATCCAACCCACGACTCCCACGTATCCTAGTCTCACTTAGTGGATGTTTAAGCTTCCGCACTATAAAAACTAATCAACTTAGTCTTTTATTCTTTTCCACATTCTGAAACTTTTTTCTTCCTCTCCTCTTACTAAAACCCTAAAACTTCCAACAATCTTCAACAATGTCTTCAACAACATCATCCCAACTGAAGAAAACTTCCAAGAAGAAAAGCAAGAACACAGGAACAATTATGGAAAGCAAGGTTGGTACTTATCAAGGTCAATCTGTGCTTATCCCTCAAATGATCTCCAAGGAAAAGGAAATGCTCTACGCATCTCAGGTATTGATTCCAACTAACGCTGCTGGAAAGAGGTTTGCTCTAATGGGTCCTCTTACAGTTTTTGAAATCTTGAAAGATACTAGAAAAATCTTCCCTGTCTGTTACAACTTTAAGCCCTTGTTTAATAAAATGGATATCCCTAAGATAGGGGAGTCTTCTGATTCGACAACCATAGAAACTCCAACCGTTCCCCCAAAAGATCCCTTTGTGCTAGACTACGTGAAGAGCAACTTTAAACCATTCTGATCCTGCCCTACTTCTGACATAGCTTACCAAAACTGGCTTACCAAAGTAGAAGCCAAGAAATCCCAGCAATGGGAGGAATTAGGAATCTATAATCTGATTAAGTTATCGAAACCAGGCTTCACCTATAGTCATCCACTGTTATTTGCATCCTTATACTTCTGGGACAACACCTACAACACCTTTCATCTCCCTGGGGGAATGATAACACCCACATTTTTCGATATAGCAGCCATCACTGGTTTGTCACCAGTAGGAGAAACCTACATCCCTGATAATGAAGAACACTCCAGCATTATTGACTTTGATGTCAAATTAGCCAGTTTTTCCAAATTCATTAGCCATTACCACACTGAAGGAGATAGTGTGTCAAATGTGGAACATATTGCTTTTCTCACTTTATGGTTATCAAGATACGTATTCTGTAGCAGGTCCTTACAGGTAGCAAGCAGGTTC